GTCTTTGCCTTTACTGGAAACCAAGAACCCTCTTCCCCTCTTGACATGCTGATGCTGTCTCTAAAAGCCATATTCTTTTAGCATCCACTGAGGGACAGGCAGGCTCAAAGAAGCAACATGCTAGAGACATCATTTTGAAGATAGGTTAAGTAGACAATTTAATATTCTCAGTGAAGATTAAGCTCCACAGCAACTAAACTGCAAAATCCTGCATTGAGTCTATGGCTTTGTTCATGCACAAATGAATCATTATTGAGTGTAACTTTCAGTGATAATTTCTTTGTCATTTACCATATTATGACTATCCCTTTAAATAGATAGCCCACTATGAGATGGGAGCATTTTTTCATCTCTAGTTAAGGAAAAACAATTATTCCTCAGTTGTTCTTCATGCCTCTGGACAGCTGTAAATGAACCAAGGACAAATCTGAGATGGCTGAAAAGTGAAACAATTAAAGGAAATCCCAGTCTAAATCAGAGCCTTCAGATGGAAAGAGTAGAATAAATTACTGCACATACTCAAACTGTAGTGTGTCTCACTCTTTCCTTTCAGTGAGCTTTATAGGCTCTTGAACGGCAAACAAAGGATTTCAACTTCTCTCAAAAGAGTTCAACATAAATACATACAGTGCATTAAACCCTGAAAGGTGCTAATAAAATGGGGCCTAGTTTTCAAAAAACAGTTAATATCTCAGGGCAGATGTACATTGCTAATTTATAAATGGAGATAATGTCAATTTCTGCTTCTAATTACTCTGGTGTGAATCAGAGTAACTCCTCTGACTTTGGTGACAATGTGTAAGCACAAAATTTAGTTCCCTTTTATTGAGGGGTGGATGATTTAATTCATTTCAGTGGAGTTATGTCCACATCTACCAGCAATGAATTTGACAACTTGTCGTCCACTTATCCACCATCTCATGTCTGTCTGAAGTCAGTGGGCCAGATTTAACCCATCCTTACTCAAGCTGAGTAGTATTTTAGTAGTCTTGTTTCCAATAATACCATTTGCAGAGTAAGGTAGTTCTCAATATGAGAGAGTATGGCAGAATTTGCCCATTGAAGGAATGCAGCAGCATTTCTAAAAACCTATAATCAGGACATTCAAAACTTTCACCACTGTCATATTTTTAGTAGTGTTTAACATATAGAGATAAAATAGGAATTGCCATACTGGTGAAATTAGTGGTCTAAATAGTCTGGTATTCTGTCTGACTGTGGCCAATACATGATGCTTCAGAGGAAGGTGAAAGAACTCCAATGATGGAATAACCTGCCCATAGAGAAACTTTCTTCCTAGCCATCACCTGTTAGTGCTTAATTTACATCATGAAGCATGAAGGTTTATATTCTACAGTGGATGTTTGCATTATCCATATAGATGTCCAGTTCTTTCTGAATCTTGCTACGCTCTATTTCTGAATGATACTTAGTAATAATAATTCCCATAGACTAATTATCCATTGTGTAAAAAAGATTTACTTCTATGATTTTAAAATGTGTTACATTACAATCTCATTGAATATCCTTTTGCTCTTATATTATGAAAGGGTAAGGCAGAACAGTGACCATATGACTCTCTATACCATTCACTAGTATATCTTTATCATGTGCCCTCTTATTTGTCTCCTCTCTAAAATAAACAGTCCTAATCTTTTCAAAGAAATGGATTTCATACTTCTAATCTGTTTCATCACCCATCTCTGTTACCTTTCTATTTATTGATAATTGGAAACTGGATAATTACTATAATAGATAGTTCATTCATTTTGGCAACATGGTATGAAAGGCATCACTATAATGTTATTTCAACTAGATCTGCAGAACATTTCCAAAATCAGCAAATTTTCTTATGTTCTTTATATTGACCTTGATTGCCCTTCTGTTTACTCATCTCTGTATGTTTAACATCTCTGAAAAACAGGCCTCTTTTGATTAGGAGCCTAGACATGGATGTAGGCACCAGGTTTGAAAGTTCTGGCCACTGTATTTTATGATCTCTTTTCAACATACTCCAAAAGGGATGATTTAGATCTTAGACTTGTTTAGGAGAGAGAAGACTTCTTCCCTATTAATGATTTTCAAAATAATTCATACTTCTGAAAGTCATGCCTGCTTCACTTAGGTGTCTAATACTTGGCCCTAGGTTTGAAAATTTTAGTCATTGTGTTTTCACTGGCAAGTCATGTTTCTTTCTTTAATACATTTTAGCTTGGTGTAACATCAGATTTTAGAATCAGTAATATTGGTCCAGAACCAAATCCTCAGATCTAAATATGCCTGAACTTTAGGGGTTTGGAATTCAAAGCCAGACATGGATGATGTAACTGATCCCATTGTCTATGAAAGGCTGAACTACACCCCACAAAAACTCTGGAAGAGAAAAGAGGTTTGAAATCTGCACCAGAATTTTATAGATCAGGCTTATCACTAATTTGCAGGTGCATTTAAGAAGTAAGAGCTTTTGCGCTAGGACCTGCAATGTTTTCACAAGAATACATGGTCATCTGTATTCTACTGCTCCTTCTACATTTTCACTGAAATATAACATATAACAATGTACATACCATTAAGTGTCTTGGTTATATTTTTGGGGCATAAAGGGTATATTATTATTACTATTTATTAGGGCTGTCAATTGATTGAAAAAATTAATCACGATTAATCGCACTGTTAATAATAGAATACCATTTATTTAAATATTTTTGGATGTTTTCTACATTTTCAAATATATTTATTTCAATTAAAACACAGAATACAAAGTGTACAATGCTCACTTCATATTTATTTTTGATTACAAGTACTTCTACTGTAAAAAACCCCAAAAGAAATAGTATTTTTTACATTCACCTAATACAAGTACTATAGTTCAATCTCTTTATAATGAAAGTTGGACTTACAAATGTAGAATTATGTACAAAAAACTTTCATTCAAAAATAAAACTATGTAAAATTTTAGAGCCTGCAAATCCACTCAGTCCTACTTCTTGTTCACCCAATTGCTTAGACAAACAAGTTTGTTTACATTTGCAGGAGATACTGCTGTCCGCTTCTTGTTTACAATGTCACCTGAAAGTAGGGTGACCAGATAGCAAGTGCAAAAAATCGGGACAGGGGGTAGGGAGGTAATAGGTGCCTATATAAGAAAAAGCCCCCAAAATCGGGACTGTCCCTATAAAATTGGGACATCTGGTCACCCTACCTGAAAGTGATAGGCATTTGCATGGCACTGTTGTAGCCAGCATCGCAAGATATTTACGTGCCAGATGCGCTAAAAATTCATATGTCCCTTCATGTTCAACCAGATTTCCAGAGGACATGCGTCCATGCTGATGACGGGTTCTGCTCAATAACAATCCAAAGCAGCATGGACCACTGCATGTTCATTTTCATTATCTGAGTCAGATGCCACCATCAGAAGGTTGATTTTCTTTTTTGGTGGTTCGGGTTCTATAGTTTCTGCATCAGAATGTTGCTCTTTTAAGACTTTGAAAGCATGCTCTGCATCTCATCCCTCTCAGATTTTGGAAGGCACTTCAGATTCTTAAACCTGGCATCGAGTGGTGTAGCTATCTTTAGAAATCTCACATTGGTACCTTCTTTGCGTTTTGTGAAATCTGCAGTGAAACTGTTCTTAAAATGAACATGTGCTGGGTCATCATCCAAGGCTGCTATAACATGGCAGAATGTGGGTAAAACAGAGCAGGAGACATACTATTCTCCCCTCAGGAGTTCAGTCACAAATTTAATTAATTAATGCATTATTTTTTTAACGAGCGTCATCAGCATGGAAGCATGTCCTCTGGAATGGTGGCTAAAGGCTGAAGGGGCATATGAATGTTTAGCATATCTGACACATAGCATATCTGGCCAGCTACAAAAGTGCCATGCAAATGCCTGTTCTCGCTTTCTGTTGATATTGTAAATAAGAAGAGGGCAGCAGTATCGCCTGTAAATGTAAACAAACTTCTTTGTGATAGCGATTGGCTGAACAAGAAGTAGGACTGAGTGGACTTGTAGGTGCTGAAGTTTTATTTTTGAATGAAGGTTTTTTGTACATAATTCTATATTTGTAAGTTCAACTTTCATTATAAAGAGATTGTACTTGAATTAGATGAATTGAAAAATACTATTTCTTTTGTTTATCATTTTACAGTGCAAATATTTGTAATAAAAAATAATATACAGTTTGATTTCAATTACAACACAAAATATATATGAAAATGTAGAAAAACATCCAAAATATTTAATACATTTCAGTTGGTATTCTATTGTGTAACAGTGCGATTAAAACTGATTAATTGCGATTAATTTTTTAAATCACAATCATTTTTTGATTGTGTGAGTTAACTGTGATTAATCGCCAGCCCTACTATTTATTACTTCTTTTGCAGTGGTAGGTACAAACTCCAAGCAGGGATTAGGGCCTCACAGCACTAGGCAGCGTTCAAAACACAAAAATAGATTGTTTTCTGGAACATGGGCTCTTTCCTCCCCACATACATCCTTAGATTAACAGAGGAACTGTGAAGTATAGTAATTAAAAAGAAATATTCATATGAGTGGTCAGACTGTCAGGCCTAAGCTTTTGTGCTAGTTGAGGAATAATGGAGGGTAACAAATAAAAACATACTCTCATGAGACACTTAAAGAAAGGATATTTAATAAGACACCAATCCTGCCTTCCTGGTATATCCAAAATTCCCCACTGAAGCCAATAGGTGTTTTGGAATGCTTAAAGCAGGCAGGATGAGGGGAATTGCTGTGGGGCAGAGGAAGGAACCTTCATCTCTCTCAGATGACTTTGGATGCAGTGGCAAGCTTCAGAAAAGGAGGAGATTTGGTATTGTTTTAAGTCAATTCACTCCTTAGCTGAGGAAATGACGAGAGGGAAATTGTCCCGTCTCAGGAACCATGTGGCACTCCAAGATAAGCCAAACAGTTGCTAATTTGAGTCTAAAAGCAGGAAATGTGATACTTTTTATTTCCTTCTATGCAAGCAAAACAATGTGACTGGCTGCGTGAACGCATTTCTTCTCCTGCTGAATCGCAGACATATCAAAATCTAGTGCTTCATCGTGGACATACCAGTTTCGCATTTATTATTTTGGATGTTATGGATAAAAACAGTACTCATTCGGATAGTTCATGGCCGCCAAACTTTTGGGGTAAGATTTTTTTTTTTTAACTAGAGTATTATTAGTAGGAATTAGAACACAAGTATGCCACCAATTACTTTGTAAAATGTCATGTTATCACTGGGGCAGATTTCTAGAATTATTACCACTGAAACAATTAATGGATTACTTATTTTTGTGGTGCAAATATTTTCCAAATGCTCCTTAATGAAGTGTCAGGATAGTTTCTTAATGAATACAAACAGTTGAGATCTAGCAAGTGGGTTTTTGGGCCAGCTCTCACCCATGGTTTGATCCAAAGTCCATTATTGAAGTCAATGAGAGTTTGTCAATTGATTTCAATGGTTTGTTAAGCACCTAATCTCAGTAATTTAATGAAACTGCTCACATAAGGAAAGCAAGCAGGATTTGGTCCATTTTCAGATGAAAGGGATGTAGCAAAGACTAAAGGAAGTGCAATCTTTGGAATAATCGGTTTGTCTTTCCAACCTGTGAAAGGTTTCGAATAAGCTGAGAGCCTCACAAAATCAACTCGTCTTCACTGTCTCTCAGAATCTGACCTGTTCTTTGTCCATTAACTCTAATGTGCTATCGTTAAAAACTGGGAAGGGTTCCTTAACCAAAATATATTGGGTATGAGACAGGGGTATTAGTAATACCAAAATTGAGTAGGTAGATTCACAAAAAAAACACCAGCAGCAACCATGGAGATCACTTCACTCCAAAAAGTCCTAAAACTTGCCCTGCTTTGCGTTACATAAGTCACATATTGTATATTTGCCTATTTTATTCTTACCATCCCTTGTGATCTTTTCAAGAGACCTTGCAATATGTAAATCTACAAAATAATATACGTTAAAAACAACAGAGGCCTCCTTTATTATGAGGATGCATTGGGAGTAAAGTGGGAGATAAGCTTATGGGACACTTTTGAGGGAGTTCCTTTGTGTCACCTTGTGTGAGTAACAGGCCTTTGAGTGCCAGTCTCTGATTCCTGTATTGATACGTGCATTTCATAGGATGTGCTCTCCTTGTTTTGTGTACTGTCCTCTGGTATCTGAAGCAAAGATGACTGCCAATTTTTAAGAGGGAAACTGCATATTTTTGTAAAGTAGCTATTTCAGAACAGGAGTGAAAGAGTGCTTTCATATAGCCGATACTTTGAGAATCCTTGAGTAGGAGGCAAACCCCAGATTTTATTCCATTCTGAGCCAGGTATCCAGAGGGCTATATTTTCTCTCTAATGGAAAAATCCATCAGAAGGACAAAGTTGCATGAGACATTGTGATTCACAATCCAGAGTTTCTAACTCAACAGGTACTGTGGTTTTCCAGCCAGAGGAGTCTGTGGACAAGGTCCTTCATCTGCACTGAGGGCTGGGCATCTGCTCTACCCCTTGGGCCTAGGGCTGGCACTATGGCCCCCTTAGTAGCTGTATTGCCATTACTTTTCTGCTCACTTTTGGTGCCTCCCAGGGCTTGCCAAACCCCTAATTCTTCCATGCTCATGGCTGACTGTACAGAATAGCACCTGCACAAGTTGCTATAATGCTGAGAGAGTCAGCGTTAACTTCCATAAAAATTTTCTTGTGTTGGTGCCAAGGAATTGATATTGCACAGCACCACAATTCCCTCCACTTGGTGGCACCCACACAGTAGATCAACTTCTCAGTGAACCATCCAGTGTTCCCGTGGAAGGGCTTCCATGATTACAGAGAGAAGATAGAGATGCCTCTGGCTCAATGCTTCTCTCCCAAATAGTTTTGGGACATAGCAGTGGGATTGGCACTTCTTTCTTTCCCACCATATCATGTGGGAATGGGTGGAATAGGAAAGGAGATCAAATGGCACTGATTTTCAGGAGATGTCATCAGTTAAAATGAGGATATAGCATAGCTGCTTTCAACAAACTCTGACTTTAAGAATACATTTTACACTCTCTTTTAAAGAAGCATATAGTATTGTGAGCACTAACAAATTACTTAGACCAAATCCTGCAGTAGTTTACACACAGTCTTAAATTTACTCTTGAGAGTCATCCAGTTGGTTTCAATGGGATAATAAATGTATAGACTTAAGTGTGTGTGTAATTGTTTGCTGATCAGGGACTTACTAGAGGTGGACAAAATTAAATATTGTAAAAACTGTTAGAACAATTCACCATCATTATTAATCTATTGTCCAGTAGCTGGTATCATACTCTGGAAATTATCTACAGGAATCCTGTTTTCTGGAACTCTTGAAGTTTCCACTGTTAACTTGAGACTATAGCTCTTTTAGAAGTGATTTTAAGAATTTTAAAACAATGAACAAAAGTCAAGTCTCCACTGTGAGACTTACTGTTTGTTTATATTTGAGCACACATCATTCTTTCCCAAACCAGTCCATGCCACAGTATATTATTAAAGACCCACATGTAATGGGGGTCACTCGCCACTAGGGTGCCTCCTCCTGGCTATTCAGGGAATTAGCTCCATCCTGATCTGATGCCCCTTTCTGTCATTTGCTCTCACTGCAGCTCTTTTTGCTCTCTGGGACTCTCTCTTCATGACTTGGCTCTCCAGGCAGATCACTATCGGTGTTTCCCCTTTGAGGTATTAAAGTCTCACTAGATCAGCTAGCTTCATGCCGCTCCAGACAGTTTTCCAATCCAAGGCTAGGTCCTAGTCCTCTTTCTCAGTGGCTGCAAGGGAAACTCAGGCCAACCCTGTACTCCGGGTTCCAGTCCAGGGACCCTATGTCTAGCAACTATGGTCTGCTTGCTCCCAGGACTCCTTTCTACCTCTCTGCTCTATTTCCCCCCCAGTTTTCCAGCCTAAACACTCTTCTTCCAGGAAGCAAGTGTACTATTTAACTGTATAGCCCCAAACATCCTCCCTTCTCCCAGGAACTAACTACAGACTAGTTCCCCTACAGACCCCTTCTGGTCTCAGCTTGCTGGCTTTGTACAGGCCCAGCCTATACCTGCTCAGCTGAGCTTCATCTTCTGTTAGGGTTTGCCTGTCCAGCCTAATTCTTCCCCAGGTGCAGCCAGTTCCCTTCCCCCCTTCAGGTGAGGTGAGGAGTGAGCACCCCATCACACCAGCTAAGCAAAGTTGTGTAGATATATATGATAGGAGCAGCATATATGCACAGCTAGGTTTGAGTCATGTTATGTGAATTGTGTTAGTAGTCTCAGCCCACTTCCTATTAGACAGCTGTCCACATCATAAAAAAACACCTTGAGAAATGACTCCCCAAACCCAACATACAGGACAAATACATGAATAAACTGTAAACAGAATAATTTGGTGGGAATAAAAATCATGAGGTTTTTCTATTAGGTATAGAAAAATTGATTTTAACCTCCTTTCCCAGTGTACACTTCCATGAGTTTTGTAATAGATGTCATGGCCTTGTGACTAAACTTCTGTTTAATAGGGAAACCATAGCAAACATGTGATACCTTCTCTTTCTGTCACCTAGAGGTACTTAGCAAGGTTGCTGTAGCCTCTGGCAGCTCTGCTCCTTGCCTAGCCAATTAAAGAGATCTCAAGAGGTGCTTCCTGGTTGCAAGGAGGAATTTTTTTTTCCACTTGGAAAGCAAGCACATGCCTGTCTCAAACAACTTGGCTGGACTAATCCGGCAAGGAAGAAACCTCCCCCTGTAGCCACGTACCTCTTTTTGGATCCCATCTGTTTATGGAATCATAGAATCATAGGGTTAGAAGGGACCGAAAGGGTCATGTAGTCTACTCCCTGCCAAGATGTTTTGTTGCCAATATACTCTCTCTGGGGGGAAATGGACATTAGGTGTGAAGATGCAGTAGTACCAGTTTGTATAAATGAGGATCAGACTGCCGTCTCATCAGAAAGGTGGCTACGGGCTCATGGATCTCACTGAAATACTACTGATGGAGAGAAGTGCTGGCATGAAATGTTGTAGGATAATCTAATGTATCTGTGCATTTCTTGTGTACTCACTAAATATGGCATCTTGGGAACAGGGTCTGGGGCATCTTCCTCCATAATTCTTTTAGAAACTCACTCTGAAAGTGAATAGTTATGTGTCTTCCATTCCCCACTTTCTGAGTGAGTCTCCCACTCTTCCTACTGTGTCTATCACTTCTCTTTTCATTGTCACTTCCTTTTAGGCACACTTTCACTTCCCCCATGCTCCTTCTACACTCTTTGCACTCCTCCATTTTACCCTTAGCAGTACAGCATAACAGTTCCAACAACTGCTGTGACAGTCTATATCCCTATGTCCACCCTTTTTACAAGACTATGATGAATTTTGTACAAAGTAGGCCTTGTGAGGTATCATTTGAAAACTCATAATATGCGGATCATTACTGTCCTAGTAAAATATGTGTGGCAACATATTATGTAAAGTTATAAGATTCTACTGTATGGCTTGACTAAGACAGGCTCCAAGTTTAGAAAAGCAGGCATAAACCAGTTCCTCAGAGACAAAAGGCAAATTGATGCCTCAGCCAGGTGTCAACAAAATCAAATGGACTATCACCTGGGTAAGCAGCCATTCTTTGGCAGGAAGAAGGGTGTGAGCAATAATTTTACATCTTGGCAATGGAACAGATGGAGGTTCCTGTGCAAACAGACTGACTGTCGCCTGAACCCCAGCTGGAGATGATTCACAAAGAAGAGAATTGTTATAAAAAAGGGGAGCAAACTCCCCTGATTACCTCTTTCCCCTCCTCTCTACTCATGGCATCAACAATATTTGAAAGACAAAAGAAGCCTTATAGAACTTGGGGAAGGGTCCTGGCTGAAAGGATTCCAGACAGACTGCTGTAAAGAGCCTTTGCTTTTAATTCACTTTAGCTTGTTCACTTAGCTATTAATTGTATTTTACCTTTAATTTTCTTATAACCAAATTCTGACTTTTATGCATCATTACTTGTAATTTCTTAAAATCTTTCTGTAGTTAATAAACTTGTTTTATTGTTTTATCTAAGTCAGTGTGTTTGGATTGAAGTGTTTGGGAAACTCCACTTGAGTTAACAAGGTTTGTGCATATCATTTTCTATT